CGTAGCGGGGAGGACAAAAATAGGTGACTGGAGATTTCTCTCATTCTATCGTTGAACTCCGACAGGAACACAACAACCGAAATGGCTCGTACAAAGCAGACCGCTCGTAAATCCACCGGAGGAAAGGCTCCACGAAAACAGCTGGCCACAAAGGCTGCACGTAAGAGTGCACCAGCCACCGGAGGAGTGAAGAAACCTCACAGGTACAGGCCTGGAACAGTCGCTCTCCGAGAAATCCGTAGGTACCAGAAGAGCACCGAGCTCCTCATCAGGAAACTGCCATTCCAGCGTCTTGTCCGTGAAATCGCCCAAGATTTCAAGACCGACTTGAGGTTCCAGAGCTCTGCTGTTATGGCTCTGCAGGAAGCCAGCGAAGCTTACTTGGTTGGACTTTTCGAGGACACCAACTTGTGCGCCATCCACGCCAAACGTGTCACCATTATGCCCAAGGATATCCAGCTTGCCCGCCGTATCCGAGGAGAACGTGCTTAAGCTGTACACTTTGTAGCCCACATACCAAAACGGCCCTTTTCAGGGCCACCACATCTCACAAAAAGTGCCATTAATTGCTCGATAATACGCAATTTGAATTGTTAATAGACATGATTATGAAATGATTATGAAATGATTATTACGGTGGTGTTTTTAGCAAGCATGAAATAAATGCTTGAATAGATAGGATTGTGGTAATAAAATGAGATGATTATTTGAAATGGTAGGGTATGTTTTTCAAGGTTTGGCTATTGAGTGTTAATTTGGTGTTGTTTGTTGGTTTTTGTAATTGGTGTTGTTTGTTTTAGAATGTATTTAATGTTTGTAATTGTGTGTTTTGTTGTTTTTGTTTGTTTTGGTTATTTTGAGTTTTTTGTTTTGTTTTTTTTGTGGTTGTGTTTAATGTTTAAAAAAAAAAGGGTTAGGTTTAAAAAAAAAAAAAAAAAAAAAAAAAAAAAAAAAAAAGTAATAAAAAAAAAAGGGGGTGGGTAGGTGTTGTGGTTTTGGTTTGTTTTGTTGTTGTTTTGATTTGATTTGCATATCCCGCCGAGCGGAGCGAGGCGAAAATTTTTTGGGGGTGATTTTTTTTTTCTCGGAGTGTTATTTTTTTGGGGATGTGTATATATAATATATATTAAATTGGGTGGGTCGCGTGCTTTGGGTACTGGAGATCGTAATGAATTTTGGATGTATTCATGTTATGCATGATATTATACACAATTATTTACTTGGCTAATTCAATATAATAATGATAACAACAATAACAATAATAATAAGAAGAATAAGAATAAGAAACATAACAAAATAAATAGGTCTTTTCACCATGTGGTGAAAAGACCTAATAATATACACTATGATGCTTTATTTGTTGACGGTAAGTATCGGTTTACAGCGTTAAATTCATCCTCATTTGATTATTGATTAACAATGTTTTGGGACATGATATATGTATGCACTTTATTCACAAATACTGTTAAGTACACACTGCTTTATCCCGTACAACACGGCTAAGGAGAGTGTAGTTATTTTCGACCAATGAAAACCGCGCTTATAAAAGCGGAGAGGTCTTCTCACACGGCCTCCAGATTTGTATATAGCATGGGTGATCTGCGCTACCGGTTCATTTTCAGTCACTGCTAGCAGTCTGTAAACATGTCTGGAAGAGGTAAAGGAGGAAAGGGACTCGGAAAGGGAGGTGCCAAGAGGCACAGGAAGGTGTTGCGTGATAACATCCAGGGTATCACCAAGCCTGCAATCCGTCGTCTGGCTCGCCGAGGTGGTGTCAAACGTATCTCTGGTCTGATCTACGAAGAGACACGTGGTGTCCTCAAAGTTTTCCTTGAGAATGTTATCAGGGATGCCGTCACATACACCGAGCATGCCAAGAGGAAGACTGTCACAGCCATGGATGTCGTCTACGCTCTCAAGAGACAAGGACGTACCCTGTACGGATTCGGCGGTTAAACACTGACTACCTAGAACAGCCAACCAACTCAAACGGCCCTTTTTAGGGCCACCAAAATACCCAAAAAGTATTTGTATAACGCCTCGAATACATACGCCACTCATTTCTATTTGCAGAACAAGTAAGACTTACCTAGGTTTCATTTGCATGCAAACCCGCTGATTCCTGTTGTTCATTATCATTCATAAAGGAACAATAGTATACTGAGAAACGTTCAACGAAACAGAATGTCAATAATACAATACCTAACGTACTTTCCTTCTCTTCACTGTAGTACGTTTGCATTGTTATGAAATGACACTTACAAGCAAATAAATACAACAGAAAACAAATACTTACCAAACTATCAATTTCATTTTATTTTCTCTCCTTTCCATTCCATTCCATTCCATTCCATAATCATATCTATTCAGATTCAATTCGATTCAGTTGATATGTAAATATTTTGGCTGTGTTTTATCATTGAAATAAAACACGGCCTAATTCTTATAAACTTATGCACACTTCTCCATAAATACACAGAACATGGGTTGATCTTACATCGTTGCAATTAATACATGAAAATAAAGATAATCAATCCATACACTATTTCGTTATTGAGCTATAGTACATGCATTCGTAGTTTTGAAATAAGGTTTTACCAAATTATATCATATCAAACACACATGCACATGGAACCATGTTACAAGGTGGTATTATTTCGTCTTTACTTTAATCTAAATGTAAATCAATCAACACTAACTTACCAACAACTCCACATGATATTTGGACGGATATGTTTTCATATATTTCATTGCTATATGATGATTATATTTCTCATTCGTTTCCTTACTATAGCAGTTCTCTTTTACATATTACAAACAAATCACACGACGACACACACTGAAGCAAGTCAAGTCTTACGCAGACAAAGCGTATAATTTTCGAGAGATCACAGGGCTTTTTGAGGAATGTGGGTGGCCCTGAAAAGGGCCGTTTGGTTGGTTTGTTGTAGTAAACTTTGCTACAAGTTTACTTGGAACTGGTGTACTTGGTGACAGCCTTGGTGCCTTCGCTGACGGCGTGCTTAGCCAATTCACCGGGGAGAAGGAGACGGACAGCAGTCTGGATTTCCCGACTAGTGATGGTGGACCTCTTGTTGTAGTGGGCCAGACGGGAAGCCTCAGCGGCGATTCTCTCGAAGATGTCGTTGACAAAGCTGTTCATGATGGACATGGCTTTGCTGGACACTCCGGTGTCGGGGTGCACCTGTTTCAACACCTTGTAGATGTAGATGCTGTAGGATTCCCTCCTCTTCCTCCTCCTTTTCTTGTCAGTTCCACGACTGGCCTTTGCCTTAGTGGCGGCCTTCTTTGCTCCTTTCGAACCTACTTGTTTAGGGCCCATGTTGCTAGTACGACGAGTGCCGATACGAATAACACACAGCCCGCCACAAACCCCTCTTATATACCATCGCCCTCTCAGGTAGGATCGAGTCTTGTAATGCCCAAATCACTCGAACCTTACACGCTCACTGAAAACACCCCCTACTTTACGCTCGTTGCAATTTCGATCCTACCTTGGGGTATATAACGCTTCATGATGTGGCCGACCTCTCATTCTGCTTAACACTGTTGACAGTAACTAGCCGATCGTATCACGCATCAAGATGTCTGGACGTGGAAAGGGAGGAAAAGTAAAGGGAAAGGCAAAGAGCCGATCATCCCGTGCAGGGCTTCAGTTCCCTGTCGGACGTATCCACCGTCTGCTCCGTAAAGGAAACTATGCCGAGAGAGTTGGTGCCGGTGCCCCAGTCTACCTGGCCGCTGTCCTCGAATACTTGGCAGCTGAGGTGTTGGAATTGGCAGGAAACGCTGCCAGAGATAACAAGAAGACCAGGATCATCCCACGTCATCTTCAGTTGGCCATCAGAAACGACGAGGAGTTGAACAAACTTTGTCTGGTGTTACCATTGCACTGGGTGGTGTCCTCCCCAACATCCTGGCCGTCCTTCTCCCCAAGAAGACCCAGAAGCCAGCCACTTAAACGGCCTTTCTGGAGCTTCACACAAAAAACAAACGGCCCTTTTCAGGGCCACCCACTTTTCTCGAGAAGTGTCTCTGTTTGATAGCACACGAAAATTCCTCATTTGGTGAGTTATTGCTTCATTCATTTCTTAACACTGTCAAGAACGTTGTATGATACACACAAAAAAAAAAAAAACCCAAAACAAATCACCGCATAGGATGACATGTAAAAAAGACATATAACGAAAAAGTTTATAATAGGGTAGGTGAGCTGTAGCGAATCACAATAGTAAATGAATAAACTGTCGAGTGATCATGTTAGTGAGAGACAACACACACACACACATATATATATGTACATTAAAATATTATACGGACGTGGTATTTATTTACTTACGTATACGTCTCTCTCTCTCTCTCTCTCTCTCTCTCTCTCTCTCTCTCTCTCTCTCTCTCTCCGTGTTTCTTTTTGGTCTTGTACAAAGTTAGCTAAGTTTTATATAACATCTGAATATCTTTTATGTGTTATAATAGTGTTATATTGTGTACATTGTATTCTTATGCATTTAACTAACAGGCTGCAAGTCTTAAAATGAATAAACAATACAACACAATACAATACAACAGTGAAAACTAGCACGTAGAAATCATATAATTTCTGCCTGTTACATGGTCAAGTCACTTTTTATTTTTGTGCTTTCTTTGTTTTCTGTCATTATTACCGTGAATATTTGTCATTACTTGCAATGTGTGATATAGAAATGTCCTGGGGGTAATTGAATTCCAACTCATAATTAAATGTTGACATGATAATTGGATAATTGAACACCAAGACAAGTCAGGTAGGATTGAAAGTTGGCGGAGTGAAATTGCCTGAGGGCCAATGAAGGTCTGTATATATCAGCCAATCAGACACGTTTTAACAAATCCAGTGTCCAATCTTATCCTTGTTCTGTGGCGGCGCGGGGAGCACAAAAATAGCTGTCTGACGTCGGCCGGCATTCTACCGTTGAACTTCAACCGTTAAGCATCACGAAATGGCTCGTACCAAGCAGACCGCTCGTAAATCTACTGGAGGCAAGGCCCCACGCAAGCAGTTGGCTACCAAGGCCGCCCGTAAGAGTGCCCCAGCCACCGGAGGAGTAAAGAAACCTCACAGATACAGGCCCGGAACAGTAGCTCTCCGTGAAATCCGTAGGTACCAGAAGAGCACCGAGCTCCTCATCAGGAAACTGCCATTCCAGCGTCTCGTCCGTGAAATCGCCCAGGATTTCAAGACTGACCTGAGGTTCCAGAGCTCTGCTGTTATGGCTCTGCAGGAGGCCAGCGAAGCCTACTTGGTAGGACTCTTCGAGGACACCAACCTGTGCGCCATCCATGCCAAGCGTGTCACTATCATGCCGAAGGATATCCAGCTTGCCCGCCGTATCCGAGGAGAACGTGCTTAAGCAGTACATTGTGTGTACCCTTCTTGCCCAAAACGGCCCTTTTAAGGGCCACCACATCTCACGAAAAGCCCCAAATGAGCTCTTAAAAATACGCAATGTGGTCACTGATATGCATGATTATCTTCTCCAAGTTGAAAACGGTAATGAAACATGAATATTTATCTTCAATTACGCAATTTTACTGACCCATAAGTCGATAAAAAGGAATCGATGAGATCAATCAATCAATCAATCTAGAAATATGTGGGTTTCCAGTGTGGCGATTGGAAGTATTAAACATGCAGATGAAAAGGGTTTGGGGCAGCAGTTGTTAGACGTTGGTATTGTGTGGGCGAATATTTGGCGAGATATCTGATTTGATTTGATTTTGTAAGATGTGATATTGGAATAAATGTGTGTGTGTGTGTATATTGGTGGTTGTTTGTTTTGTTTTGTTTTGTTTGTATGTGTTTGTTGTTTGATTGTTGTAAAAAAAAAAAAAAAAAAGGAGGAGGAGGATCGTTGTTGTTGTTGTTGTTGTTGTTGTTGTTGTTGTTGTTGTTGTTGTTGTTGTTGTTGTTGTTGTTGTTGTTGTTGGAAAGAGATTTCGCCGAGCGGAGCGAGGCGAAAAATTTTGGGGGGGGGGGGGGGTGGTATACTTTTTTTCCGAGGATGCATAAATTTTCGTCGATGTAATAAATTCTGTTGAAGTAGCAGTTCAGTTCAGAGCCGAATGTTTAGTAATTGTATTGATATCTATGCCTTACATGCAATACCGTATATCTATATATTAAGCCATTGAAATGATATAGCAGGTATTCTTATTAATACGACGATATGGGTGCTGCCACTTCTCTGGATGTTCAATAAACTTGTGTTCAGTCCATTTGTTTCAAGAAAATGTGTTTCAATTTACTAACGGAGTAAAGTTTGATAAATCAATTCAACATAGCTGTGAGTGATTTCTGGTGTTTGTTATTTTGTGAGAAAATGCACGTTTGTTGCTGTCTAATTCTATCACCGGAGAACTCTCGTCACCGGAGTCGTTATGTACACACGTGTGTGCAACAGGCCAACGCAAATTGTGACCAATGAAAAACGCGCTTACAAAACCGCATAGGTCTTCTCACACGGCCTTCTGGTTTGTATATAACAGGGTGATCTCGGTGCAAAGCTCATTCTCGGTTACTGCTAACTGTGAGTAAACATGTCTGGAAGAGGTAAAGGAGGTAAGGGACTCGGAAAGGGAGGCGCCAAAAGACACAGGAAGGTGTTGCGTGATAACATCCAGGGTATTACCAAGCCCGCAATCCGTCGTCTGGCTCGCCGAGGTGGTGTCAAGCGTATTTCTGGATTAATCTACGAAGAGACCCGTGGTGTCCTTAAGGTATTCCTGGAGAATGTCATCCGAGATGCCGTCACATACACCGAGCATGCCAAGAGGAAAACGGTCACAGCCATGGATGTCGTCTACGCTCTGAAGAGACAAGGACGTACCCTGTACGGATTTGGCGGTTAAAAATCTTATTTCCTGCAGACTAACACACAAACGGCCCTTTTCAGGGCCACCAAACTTCCCAAAGAGCTTCAATGAGCCCTCGAAAATACGCAGTATTAGTTATCACATTCATATAACATTATGCTGTAAAAGAGTGTAGGCTCATGCTAATTAGTAATGAAATGTATACAATTCAACATGAAGAAAAAAAAAAAAAAATTCTCACGCGTCTGAAAAAAAAGCAAGACGCGTTCGATTCCAACAATAGCCTATATCATTGCTGTTGTTCGTCATGATTTCATACTGAATCATTATTAGCCTTTACAAACAAAAATATACCTATGTTCTATTCGTGTATGAAAAAAACAGAAAGCACACATAAACACGCGCGCGCGAATATCATTTCCAGCACCCATACGTACTGTCCTACTTCACCAAATCTGTCAGTCAATCAATCAACATTTATTACATACACTACACTACACATAACGAATTAGCATGTTGTTGACTAGCACTACGACTGTATATAAAATGCGTATTTTTTCCTCGAGTGTTACTTAAGGTCTTTTTGAGAAATATGGGTGGCCCTGAAAAGGGCCGTTTTTGTTATAGTAAACTTTCTTTCAGCAGTTTACTTGGAGCTGGTGTACTTGGTGACAGCCTTGGTACCCTCACTGACGGCGTGCTTGGCCAATTCACCAGGCAGTAGGAGACGGACAGCGGTCTGGATCTCCCGACTAGTGATGGTGGACCTCTTGTTGTAGTGAGCGAGACGGGAAGCCTCAGCGGCGATTCTCTCAAAGATGTCGTTGACAAAGCTGTTCATGATTGACATAGCCTTGCTGGAAACACCAGTGTCGGGGTGCACCTGTTTCAGCACCTTGTAGATGTAGATGCTGTAGGATTCCCTCCTCTTCCTCCTCCTTTTCTTGTCGGTGCCACGGTTGGCCTTTGCCTTGGTGGCTGCCTTCTTGGCGCCTTTAGTTCCGGTAATCTTGGGTCCCATGTTGTAACTACTTGTATTACGACGAGTGTCGATACCAGTAATGATACGCACTCGGCCGAGTTTTTCACTTTTATACCATAGCCGTCCCAGGTAGGATCAAAAATTCTTACATACATGCGCGCTATACAAAACCACTCGAACCTCCAAGTTGTCTCAGAAAACACCCCCTATTTTTCTCGCGCGCTACAATTTCGATCCGTAGTATAAAACGCTACACGGTGACGACTTGTTTTTCATTCTGTTGTAGCTCCGCGTAACAGTCACAAGCCGAACGCATCAACATGTCTGGACGAGGTAAGGGAGGAAAAGTTAAGGGAAAGGCAAAGAGCCGATCATCCCGTGCTGGACTTCAGTTCCCAGTCGGTCGTATCCACCGTCTGCTCCGCAAGGGAAACTATGCCGAGAGAGTTGGAGCCGGTGCCCCAGTTTACTTGGCTGCCGTCCTCGAGTACTTGGCTGCTGAAGTTTTAGAATTGGCAGGAAACGCTGCCAGAGATAACAAGAAGACCAGGATCATCCCCCGTCATCTCCAGCTGGCCATCAGGAACGACGAGGAGTTGAACAAACTGTTGTCCGGTGTCACCATCGCCCAAGGTGGTGTACTGCCCAACATCCAGGCTGTACTTCTGCCCAAGAAGACCCAGAAGCCCGCGAAGTAAACCGTTCCCGTGTACCTTGTACACCAACAGAAAAACGGCCCTTTTCAGGGCCACCCACTTTTCTCAAAAAGCGTCTCTTTGAATTCACTCGAAAAAAAAAGACATCCACGCAAATTCCTCATTTGGTGAGTTATTGCTTCATTCATTTCTTAACACTGTCAAGAACGTTGTATGATACACACAAGGAAAAAAAAAAAACCCAAAACAAATCACCGCATAGGATGACATGTAAAAAAGACATAGAACGAAACAGTTTATAGATAGGGTAGGTGAGCTGTAGCGAATCACAATAGTAAATGAATAAACTGTCGAGTGATCATGTTAGTGAGAGACAACACACACACACACATATATATATGTACATTAAAATATTATACGGACGTGGTATTTATTTACTTACGTATACGTCTCTCTCTCTCTCTCTCTCTCTCTCTCTCTCTCTCTCTCTCTCTCTCTCTCTCTCTCTCTCTCCTTGTTTCTTTTTGGTCTTGTACAAAGTTAGCTAAGTTTTATATAACATCTGAATATCTTTTATGTGTTATAATAGTGTTATATTGTGTACATTGTATTCTTATGCATTTAACTAACAGGCTGCAAGTCTTAAAATGAATAAACAATACAACACAATACAATACAACAGTGAAAACTAGCACGTAGAAATCATATAATTTCTGCCTGTTACATGGTCAAGTCACTTTTTATTTTTGTGCTTTCTTTGTTTTCTGTCATTATTACCGTGAATATTTGTCATTACTTGCAATGTGTGATATAGAAATGTCCTGGGGGTAATTGAATTCCAACTCATAATTAAATGTTGACATGATAATTGGATAATTGAACACCAAGACAAGTCAGGTAGGATTGAAAGTTGGCGGAGTGAAATTGCCTGAGGGCCAATGAAGGTCTGTATATATCAGCCAATCAGACACGTTTTAACAAATCCAGTGTCCAATCTTATCCTTGTTCTGTGGCGGCGCGGGGAGCACAAAAATAGCTGTCTGACGTCGGCCGGCATTCTACCGTTGAACTTCAACCGTTAAGCATCACGAAATGGCTCGTACCAAGCAGACCGCTCGTAAATCTACTGGAGGCAAGGCCCCACGCAAGCAGTTGGCTACCAAGGCCGCCCGTAAGAGTGCCCCAGCCACCGGAGGAGTAAAGAAACCTCACAGATACAGGCCCGGAACAGTAGCTCTCCGTGAAATCCGTAGGTACCAGAAGAGCACCGAGCTCCTCATCAGGAAACTGCCATTCCAGCGTCTCGTCCGTGAAATCGCCCAGGATTTCAAGACTGACCTGAGGTTCCAGAGCTCTGCTGTTATGGCTCTGCAGGAGGCCAGCGAAGCCTACTTGGTAGGACTCTTCGAGGACACCAACCTGTGCGCCATCCATGCCAAGCGTGTCACTATCATGCCGAAGGATATCCAGCTTGCCCGCCGTATCCGAGGAGAACGTGCTTAAGCAGTACATTGTGTGTACCCTTCTTGCCCAAAACGGCCCTTTTAAGGGCCACCACATCTCACGAAAAGCCCCAAATGAGCTCTTAAAAATACGCAATGTGGTCACTGATATGCATGATTATCTTCTCCAAGTTGAAAACGGTAATGAAACATGAATATTTATCTTCAATTACGCAATTTTACTGACCCATAAGTCGATAAAAAGGAATCGATGAGATCAATCAATCAATCAATCTAGAAATATGTGGGTTTCCAGTGTGGCGATTGGAAGTATTAAACATGCAGATGAAAAGGGTTTGGGGCAGCAGTTGTTAGACGTTGGTATTGTGTGGGCGAATATTTGGCGAGATATCTGATTTGATTTGATTTTGTAAGATGTGATATTGGAATAAATGTGTGTGTGTGTGTATATTGGTGGTTGTTTGTTTTGTTTTGTTTTGTTTGTATGTGTTTGTTGTTTGATTGTTGTAAAAAAAAAAAAAAAAAAGGAGGAGGAGGTTGTTGTTGTTGTTGTTGTTGTTGTTGTTGTTGTTGTTGTTGTTGTTGTTGTTGTTGTTGTTGTTGTTGTTGTTGTTGTTGGAAAGAGATTTCGCCGAGCGGAGCGAGGCGAAAAATTTTGGGGGGGGGGGGGGGGTGGTATAATTTTTTTCCGAGGATGCATAAATTTTCGTCGATGTAATAAATTCTGTTGAAGTAGCAGTTCAGTTCAGAGCCGAATGTTTAGTAATTGTATTGATATCTATGCCTTACATGCAATACCGTATATCTATATATTAAGCCATTGAAATGATATAGCAGGTATTCTTATTAATACGACGATATGGGTGCTGCCACTTCTCTGGATGTTCAATAAACTTGTGTTCAGTCCATTTGTTTCAAGAAAATGTGTTTCAATTTACTAACGGAGTAAAGTTTGATAAATCAATTCAACATAGCTGTGAGTGATTTCTGGTGTTTGTTATTTTGTGAGAAAATGCACGTTTGTTGCTGTCTAATTCTATCACCGGAGAACTCTCGTCACCGGAGTCGTTATGTACACACGTGTGTGCAACAGGCCAACGCAAATTGTGACCAATGAAAAACGCGCTTACAAAACCGCATAGGTCTTCTCACACGGCCTTCTGGTTTGTATATAACAGGGTGATCTCGGTGCAAAGCTCATTCTCGGTTACTGCTAACTGTGAGTAAACATGTCTGGAAGAGGTAAAGGAGGTAAGGGACTCGGAAAGGGAGGCGCCAAAAGACACAGGAAGGTGTTGCGTGATAACATCCAGGGTATTACCAAGCCCGCAATCCGTCGTCTGGCTCGCCGAGGTGGTGTCAAGCGTATTTCTGGATTAATCTACGAAGAGACCCGTGGTGTCCTTAAGGTATTCCTGGAGAATGTCATCCGAGATGCCGCCGTCACATACACCGAGCATGCCAAGAGGAAAACGGTCACAGCCATGGATGTCGTCTACGCTCTGAAGAGACAAGGACGTACCCTGTACGGATTTGGCGGTTAAAAATCTTATTTCCTGCAGACTAACACACAAACGGCCCTTTTCAGGGCCACCAAACTTCCCAAAGAGCTTCAATGAGCCCTCGAAAATACGCAGTATTAGTTATCACATTCATATAACATTATGCTGTAAAAGAGTGTAGGCTCATGCTAATTAGTAATGAAATGTATACAATTCAACATGAAGAAAAAAAAAAAAAAATTCTCACGCGTCTGAAAAAAAAGCAAGACGCGTTCGATTCCAACAATAGCCTATATCATTGCTGTTGTTCGTCATGATTTCATACTGAATCATTATTAGCCTTTACAAACAAAAATATACCTATGTTCTATTCGTGTATGAAAAAAACAGAAAGCACACATAAACACGCGCGCGCGAATATCATTTCCAGCACCCATACGTACTGTCCTACTTCACCAAATCTGTCAGTCAATCAATCAACATTTATTACATACACTACACTACACATAACGAATTAGCATGTTGTTGACTAGCACTACGACTGTATATAAAATGCGTATTTTTTCCTCGAGTGTTACTTAAGGTCTTTTTGAGAAATATGGGTGGCCCTGAAAAGGGCCGTTTTTGTTATAGTAAACTTTCTTTCAGCAGTTTACTTGGAGCTGGTGTACTTGGTGACAGCCTTGGTACCCTCACTGACGGCGTGCTTGGCCAATTCACCAGGCAGTAGGAGACGGACAGCGGTCTGGATCTCCCGACTAGTGATGGTGGACCTCTTGTTGTAGTGAGCGAGACGGGAAGCCTCAGCGGCGATTCTCTCAAAGATGTCGTTGACAAAGCTGTTCATGATTGACATAGCCTTGCTGGAAACACCAGTGTCGGGGTGCACCTGTTTCAGCACCTTGTAGATGTAGATGCTGTAGGATTCCCTCCTCTTCCTCCTCCTTTTCTTGTCGGTGCCACGGTTGGCCTTTGCCTTGGTGGCTGCCTTCTTGGCGCCTTTAGTTCCGGTAATCTTGGGTCCCATGTTGTAACTACTTGTATTACGACGAGTGTCGATACCAGTAATGATACGCACTCGGTTGTTGTTGTTGTTGTTGGCAGTTTTTCGTCTCCGTGATTCCGCCCGTCGCCGGGCGGAATCCAATCGACGTACGTCGATTCTCTGGCGACGTGAGGGGGGTGCTCCCCTCATTGTTGGGAGTCATATTGAGAGTCTCTAGGTCTTGCTATTTTGATATGACTCCCGGATCTAAAAAAGTTTATTGGGCCTGTGTTATTCGTTTTCGCTTTCTTGGTCCGAGGAGTGGAGGCTTGTGTTTCGCTGTCGTTTTCACCAGTTATCAGTGCAGATACCAATCCAAAAACGGCCCTTATCTTAATTATTTATTCAATATATAAAGAAAATTTTTGAAGTCCTTGTCTAATAGTTTCTTGAATTATTTGTCAATTTAGAAAAAAAAGAGAGAATAGAAATATATATGTATATTACGAAATAGAGGAAGGGGGCTCCTGGGCGGCGTGAGGTGCCTCTTATTATCGAAAACCACAGGAGGATCTTTAATGTGCGAGCTTGGACGGGTCTCACACAGGCCACCGTTTTAAGTCCCGTCCGCCGGACTGTGTTGTTAGTTTTTAGTAATGTGCTGGTGCTCACTATGAGTCCTTGCTTTTGCTCTGATCTGTGCTTTCTCCTTTTAGCTGTGCTACTTTACATAATGTCTTTTTCTTTCTGTGCCAATCATATCCTTTCTCTATGGTCGGTAGCAGTCCTTCACGACTCGTGTCTACAGTGCCTATTGTGCTGATGTTAGTTAGGGTTGGGGTGTTGTAGTCATAGGAGAGGTGTAGGGGAAGAGTGAGTAGAGTTCCAATTACATTATGTTTTCTGGGGAAAAAAAAAAAAAAAAAAAAAACGTACGTTGGTGGGGACAGAGAGATAGTACTTAACTTTCCATATATGGTTAATAAAATATGGAAAAAAGGTCACCCAATCTCTCTGTACGGTTTTCTTCTTCTCCGTTCCCTTTCCCGTATTTTCCCTCTCCTTCTATTAAACCTTCCATTTCTTTTCCTTCCTTTTCCTTTTATCCTTACTTTCCCCTTCCTTTTTCTCTCTCTCCCTATTATTTATTTTCTTAATCCCTTCCCCTTCTTCCCTTTCTTTAACCCAACCGCTGATTTCAACATATGAAAGGATATTTGGCCAGCAACACTTTTTTTTTATAATGATTATAGGAGGGTAGAGGCATGATTGTGGTATGTGCAGAGAGGTTGAAGGTTAATGAGGGGGAGAGGGGTGGTGGTAGTGAAGATAGTGGTAGAGGGCTAATGGGGTAAGTATTTTTTTTTTTTTTTTTTTTTTTTTTATTTTTTTTTTTTTTTTTTTTTTTTTTTTTATAGAGTGCTATTGGAGCGAATAAGTTGAGAGATACTGCGGGGGAGATAAGTGATTTGTGTATGATGATGTAGTGGTGTGGAAATATTTAGTAGTAATAATAATTTCTCCCAGCAACGAGACTTTGTAGTTTAAACCCTTCTGATACTTTATTTTTTTTTTTAATTATTATATTGTGTTTGTGTGTGGTGTGTGGCATGATTGAGGTATGTGCAGAGAGGTGTGAAGGTTAATGAGGGGGAGTTTATTTGGATGGTTTGGTTTATGTTGTTTTACTTGTAAGATTGTGGATGTGGTATAAATATATGGGCTCAAGATGAAGACCGTCATGTTCGTGGGGAGTTCATATGTAAAAAGATTTGGTTTTTTCAGAGGAATAATTTTTTTTGGATTATATATATATATATATATGCGAAGAGATTTTTTTACCGGCTGATGATCCACATGGGAGCCAACGACATCGCCCCTGGTCGTCACCCCCGGGAGATCTACGATGAGATAGTGAAGCTGGTGGAAGATTTTAAGGCTAAAGGGGCCCATGTACATGTTTTGTCTTTATTGGAAAGGGGGAATGTCTCTAAAGTGGAGGGGGGAGTTTGTCTATCCGAATGACTATGCCGCTGACCAGGTGCATTTAAATGAAAAAGGGTTGCGGAAGTATTTTTGGCAGATGGTACGGTTGGTGTCCCGTTATCGATGCTGATGGTTTCTGTTTGATTGAGATTATCTTAATTGGGGTGTAGTGATGTGTGTTTAAAAAAAAAAAAACCCTATGTTGTGGTGTATGATAGGAACAGTGTTATTGGTGATATGTAGTTACGTATTGGGTGTGTTGTGTTTAGAACATCGGTCCAGTGTTGGATATACTTCCCTGCACGGTAAATGTGATGGGTTGTGTATCCCTATTCCCTACCTAACATAGGTTACCAAACGCCCTTTGGACACAGGTAGGTGACGAATACTTACACTGTGTATACGGAATTCGTATACAGTGTTTGTATGACCTACAAGTGGTACCTATTTTGTGTATCTAAACTGGATTTGAGTTCATGGGGTCTGCTGAGTGGTGTGTGTTGTTGCGAGGAGTTTGTGGAGTGGTTGATTTTGTTGCGGAGCTTTGATGATAGGTATTCTGAGTGTGAGTGCGTTATGTGTTATGCTTGTTGTTTGTTTGCGTATGGGAGTGGAGGTTTCAAGTTATGAATTTCAGTCCAGTGTAGGATACACTTCCCTGTAGGATGAATCCATAGGTTTGTGTATCCCTAGTCCCTACCTAACATAGGTTACCAAAAGCCCTTTGGACACAGGTAGGTGACAAATACTTACACTGTGTAGTCGGAATACGTACGCAGTGTTTGTATGACCTACAAGTGGTACCTATTTGTGTGTGTCTATACTGGACTTAAGTTCATAATGTATGATGATTATTTGGGAGTTGCCTCCCTTATGCCAGTGTGTCTATGTATTGACTATATATTGTCTATGTATTCTGTGTTTGTGAGATATTGTATTAGATATTTGTGAATTTTGTGTGCTACTGGGCTAGGTCTTAGTAATGTGTGTATGTGTGTTGGTGTTATATTTATTTTGCGGAGATTGTGGAGCAGCGTTTTGCGTGCTTGCGTATGTTTTTGGCATCGTAGGAATATATGGTCTACTGTTTCTGCGTTGTCGCAGTTCCGACATTTAGACGATAAGTGTCTATTCATTTTGCTGATATTTTCATTTAATTTGGTGTGGCCTAAACGTAATCTAGTAATAATCCTATCTTCTTTTTGTGATGATCCGAAAAGTTCAATTTTATTGATTGGTTTGTCAATTACATTTCTAAGATAGTTTGTGGGACTGACTTGGTGCCAGGTATCAGTCCAGGATTTGTCTACTGATTTTTTTATCATTGAGTAGACTTCCTCTTTAGAATAAGTGGTGTTGCATAAGATCGTTTGGTTGTCTAGTGCCTTTTTGGCGAGGGAGTCGGCCATATCGTTCCCTGGGATGCCCACGTGAGCTGGTATGTATTCAATGGTTGTATGTATGTTCTGTGTATGTAGGGATTGCAGTGTGTTTGTGATGGAATGTATTTCCGTTATTCTAGTGCTGTGGCCGGATTCTATCGATTGTAATGATGATAGACTGTCTGTTAGTATGACTGCTCCGCCCGGAGGTTTTGTTTCATCTACAATCCTAAGTGCTAATCCTATCGCTATAAGTTCGCTTGTATATACTGAGCACTTGTCCGTTACTCTGATGGAAAGTTCTATACCTAGTTCGGGTGCGTAAATACCTAGACCTACTCTATCTGTTGTTTGGTTTTTTGATCCATCAGTGTATATTTGAATGCGGTTCTTGTATTTGTCGTGTATAATGGACAGTGCTATATTTTTTGCAGCGATAGGATTCTCTTTTTTGTCCGTACTATGTAGGATGTCTGTACTTGTTTTGGGTGCTACTAGTTTCCAGGGCGGAGTTGGATTTGTGTGAAATTGTGTTATTTTAATGTTGTTTAAGTTATGTTCTGATATTGCTGTATTTTGTGATTGTATGGGGGTTTGTGTTGCTTTGTTTTCTTGAATGTTGTGTGTTTTGCCTGTGTTATTAGTTTGTTGGGTGGAAATTGTGTGCCATGTCCTTGTGTCCTAGCCCA